TGGCTATAGCAAAACCCACGAGCATGCTCAGAACTGGGGTAGTCTTGCTCCTGCCACTCCCCTTTTCGGAGGTTGGAGCTCAGGTACTGGGCGGCTGCCCATGCCTGAGGGCTAGGCCAGATCTCACCAGGCTGCATATAGATTCTGTATGCAGCCTGGTGAGATCTGTGTGCAGCTTTGGTGAGACCTGCATGCAGCCCTGGTGACATCTGGACGCAGCCTGGTGAGAAACTGCCTTAAAATCATTAGTCGCCAGGGCTACGTCCAGATCTCACCAAGGCTGAATACAGATCAGACATAATCTAGACGCAGCCAGGTGACATCTGGACTCCACATCCCACCAGGCAGCGTCTAGATGTCACCAGGCTGTGTACAAATCTCACCAGGCTGCGTACAAATCACACCAAAGCTGCGTCCAGATCCCACAGGCTGCGTTCAGATCCCACCAGGCTACGTCCAGATCCCACCAGGCTACGTCCAGATCCCACCAGGCTGCCAATGGGTCTCTCCAGAGCTGTGTATAGATGTCACCAGCGCTGCTAACAGGTGCCGTGCTGAGCCCGCTCTACGTGTGCGTAGTGAGCCAAATGGAGTGGGTGCCGGTCACGTGTCCGCTCAGAGGCTGCATTTCACTGTGTGGGGCTGCCTCGAGCAGTGCCTGCGCCGGTGTAACACACTTTGCTGAATAATGTGCAATTCCTGGAATCACAGCTGTGGATTAGTAGAAAGTGTACAAGGACAGATCAAAGTCTATAGTCACTTATCTGGCCAATTATGTAATTAGGAAGTAAAAGTATATGATAAACAGTCCAGGGAACTCAAATGAATAATGTTTTGGGCAGAAGTCCCGCCAAGGATAATAATTAGTAAGGTTAATTGTTACTTGCGTTTATGCAGACTTGAGGAGCCGCTTTGATCAGGAGGCTGTAGACCTGCAGAACACTTTGTCCTTCAGTTAGTAGTGGAGCAGACTGGACGAGTCTGAACTTGCAGAGGAGCAGTGAGCTGTTCCAGAGAGGGTTAATCTTGACACGGGCTGGAGACTGTCAACACTATGTGAAGCTGGAGGATTGCCAAGAGCTGCAGCCAACAGGAAAGCGGAGGCGGGAGATGAGCACGGGCAGCAGGACTCACTCAACCCCAGTTTGAATGGCTGGATCGTACCGCAGGAATGTGACAGATGAGAGGCTGATATGAGTGGGAGTCTGAAGAGAGGCAACCATGTTACAGCGAGGACGTCTAACTTGCAGTTGAATCTGGCGCCTTATGCCAGATAGGTGGGAGGAGCCGGATGACGCAGAGGAGGCGGCATCATCTACGGATACCGGAATGGAGGAGGGGTATGCTGCAGCTAGGAAGGTGGAGGAGGAGACGCGGGACCTGAGACAGCCGACCCGATTAAAACATTTAAAGGGCCAGCATCGGGGGATTTTCACGAGTACAAGTACTCGTGAAAATGCCCTGTATCGGGACATCCCTAATATAAATATATTTTTTATACAATAATTATTATAAAAAAATAATAATAATCAAAACTTGTGAAAAAAGTGTTTTCTTTAAGTTTTTTCCTCATTTTTTTATATTTTATTCGAACTAAGTGAGGCGTTCGGTACACATGTTATTACACATTATATAGCCCTATCTGTCCTCTAAAAAACAATATATAATATGTGTGGGTACATTTAGTAAGAAAGTATATTACTGCCATGGAAGGATCACACAGCAAAAATGTAAAAAGTGTGTCAGTCATTTACGAACAGAAACTGAAAACAAGCTCAGTCATGAAGGGGTTAAGGGATTATTACTTATGGGGGGTTCTGTATACTATTTTGGTTGAACTTGCCTACAGACTTGGTGGCGCTGGTTTGTTTTTTTGGAAAAATGACTGGATTGAAAAATTATCATGTAATGTCTACTGACTTTAACCCCTTCGTGACGGGAGACGTACAGTGTACGTCCCGTCACAAATTGGCTATATGACTGGCCACGTACACTGTACGTGCCGAGTTATATCAGCCTCTGTAATGCTGGTAACTGCTGATTCTCAGCAGTTACCAGTCATTAATGAATGCCTCAGTATTAAGGCATTCATTAATGAAATAGTTAAGCTTTTGTAAAAGCTTCTTCCTTTCATTAATGAAAGAATGAAGCCTTTACATTCAGATCAGGATCAGTCTCTAAGGTTATTAATAGCTGTTCCTAAGTTTGGAGCAGCCTAATAACTAAAAATTAAAAAAGTTAATTTATCATGCAGTCATAGTGACTGCTTGATATAAACTGACAAAAAAAATTTTTTTTTTACACTTATTTGTTTTACAAAGTGTAAAAAAAAATAAAGTGTACAAAAAATTAGGAAAAAATAAAACTTTTATATATAAATATATTTTTATACTATAATTATTATTAACAAAATTCTAAAAATAATAATAATGAAAACTTGCTGCTGTGGAAGAAGCACACAGCAAAAATGTAAAAAGTGTGTCAGTCATTTAGGAACAGAAACTAAAAACTAGCTCAGTCATGAAGGGGTTAAGCCAAAGCATTTGAGAGGGTCATTTAGCAAAATGTTGTACAATTATCACTTCATATATGAATATTTTTCACTTTAGCTCATCCAGACAAAGAGAAAAATATAAAAGCGAAATTTCATAATAATTGTACGCGTTTCCCGATGTACTGTAAAGACACATCCACTTTATGTCACAGCCCTGAAACAATTTTAATCCAGTCTCTGCTATATCATTTACAGATTGCTGGATTTAAGCAATAGTTTGCTACCATAGCTAGTAGAAAGCCAAATAGTGTCTGTATTATGTCAGTGTTCTGTATTTGTAAGGATAGAACAGATAAAATGTTTGGGAGCACAAGATTACTCACAGACCTGAGAAGATCATGAAACATTTTGATTAAGCATAGTCCTGCATATTTAGGCCATAATTGTTTTCTATTTCTTTTAATCACCATCCTATGTCTTTGTTCTGTCTACCAAGGCCTTTAGTAACAGATATCCTTTTCCCATTTGTAACCATGTAAGTTTGTGCATTTAAAAGGAACTGAAAGAAGATAAATGTTTTTCTTGACCGTATTAGCTAATGAGATGTAATAGTTTTAATTTGTGTCTTGTACAGGAAACAAACACATGCAATGGGCAACATAAAGTCTTTCATTACCTAAGGTTTTTATGAACTGTCAGTTCAACTGATAAATACCCACCATAAAATATGTTCAGTACATATTTTTTTTGCTTGTGCAACAGACTATGCTAATGTGCTTTGCTGATCCAGCACAGTGACAGACATACGATCAGTACCATACACTCCTTTTTCTCAAGATCTTAGACACACATTTGCATTTTGCAATTGCTGGAGATATTTTCTGTCATTCTAAGGTATAACAAATTATATATTGTGCTTATTAGGTGTTCTACTTGCATTAAGCTCAACATTACATGGAAGCAGCACGTATCAATGTATGCACTAAATGTGATGTAATAATGTGGCTTTTAAATAAAATGTCATTGTAGGTCATGCTAAATGGTTCCATTGGTCACTACATGGTTAATTCAGAAACCATAGAAAATGTTATTAAAACATTTGTGGGGGGAAAAAAACTTTTGTGCAACTTTTTTCAAATGTAATTATTAAGCATTGTATTTGATCTGAAGTTCCCAGTCCATGGGCTACAAGCTACAAGCTCGTGAAGCATATAAAAAGGATGTAAGTCGATGGAGAGACCCTGCGCACTCCCCACAGCAGTCCCGGCCAGATAAGAAAAAAGTGATGCTCGCAGTGATGAATTACCACGGATGGTGCCGTGCAAACACAGGAAAGTCAGGAAATCACCAGCACTCAGTAGTAAAGATAAATATGTCCCTTTTATTGGACAGAAAGCGTCACAGACATCTGTCCAATAAAAGGGACATTTATCTTTACTACTGAGTGCTGGTGATTTCCTGCATATAAAAAGGATACATTTTATTAGACTGAGTGCTTAAATAACCTGACAACACTCGACACTCACTTTCCATCTGTTTGGAAATCAGAGGAATCTAATGAGCAAGCTTGAAAATCCATATGATTAAGGGCCGGTTCACTCCACAAACTCCGCGTTCTAGTGTGTTTGACCTCTGGAATGCACTGGAACGCAAGCCGGCCGGCTCCCTGCATAAAGGGGCTGGCAGGGGGCGTGGCTGTGCATTGAAGTCAATGGCACCGCAGCCACGCCACCTGCCCGCAGTGTGATCACCCGGAACGCAGGCGCATTAGTTACTGGAAAGCGAGCCGGCCGACTTGCGTTCCAGTGGCTGAACGCACTGGAACACAGAGTTTGTGGTGTGAACCTAACAAATGGGTTCTGCTTTGCTTTATGTACAGTGAGAGACTGCGTGGAATGTGTCAGATTTGGCTTTTTTTTCGACTTTTTTGTGTCACACCAACACAAACAAAAGAAATAAACATAATACCTAAACATTTGTAATTGCAACAATTTTCGGCGCAAAGTGGTGCAATATCTGACAGAAATGCAGGGGTGCCAATATTTTTGCCCATGACTGTATATAGTCTGTAAATTGTTGTTTAATTTGTCAGTGATATATAAATTAACAATATACCACTAATAGAAACTTAGATGCAACGCTCTGACAAACTGATATTTGAAAAAACTTAGTATAGCACATAAATTCATTTTGCGATCTATAATATATTTTTCTGCAATCTGAAATACACTTTATTAGAAAAATCAAAACTGAAATATATTGCAATAGCTGTACTGGTTCTATTTGTAACAATGATCTGCTTGCAACCAACATGACTATTATAAAGAACCCAAACAAAATAAATTGTACAGCGAATTCCCACAGTATTCAGCCATGAAAATAAGAAATGATACTGAATGGTAAGATTAAAATCTTACTTGATATAAATATGAATTTATGTTAAACACAGATAGTTGTAATCATTTTTGGTTTGAGGACTGATCCCTTGGTAATAATGATATTGTACCTGACGGGCTCTGGACTGTAGAAGGAGTTGATGTGAGACTGGTGGTGATTGAATCACAAGGCCCAGTGCTTCCGCTGGAGCTGCTGCTTGAAGGAGGTGATGGGGAAGATGCTGGTGATACACTGTGCTGGTTTATGCACTGAGCTACAGCAAACCCTGTAAAAAATAAAACATGCATTTCTCTGGTTTGGCTATATATAGTTCAGATGCCATAAATATAAAGTTTAGTGATCTTTTTTTTTTTTTAATTCTTTATTTCTTATTTTGAGCCAACATTTTACAGTAAACATATACATTCGGGTAATGATGTCGTACAGTTACAAACGTAGGAAGCATATCTATATCTCCCAGCCCCAGTCGCATAATTAACCAAGGATCAAACGGTATCAACATAATATCGTATGCACCATCCAGGCGTTTGGGGTGATTGCAATGCATATTTTATATGTTATAATATGTATTGAGCAATAGTTTCGATAGGCAGAGGTGTGTAAACTTAGGGGTCCACCTGTTTGCTTCTGGGGATTGAGGGAAGGGGTGGGGCAACAGACAACATCAGGACAAAAAAGGGAAGAGGGGAAGGCTTACCAACGAGAGGAAGGGAGGGCAGTACCAGCAAGCTAGTGTGTAAGAGAAGGTATAGGTCAATGGGACATGGTAGAGCCTGTCAAGAGGGTCACTCATGGGGCACTTCCTTGTGAGCCGGTGAGAAGTGAAAGATCATACAGAGTATACACGGCCCTCAGGGGAATCCATGTACTCCAGCCAGTAAAACCACGTCCTAGAATAACGCTCCTGCCTGCCCTGAGAGGACAGAATCATGTCCTCCATCACCCTGATCTCCTCCACTCTGCGTATCCACATAGGGATTGTAGGGGGAGAGGGATTCTTCCATAGACTAGGAATGCAGGATTTAGCTGCATCCATATGAATGGAAAATGTAAATACATAAATTGTGAGAATTAGGCAAGAACCCAGGCTTTGAGAATCATGCTGATCAATAATAATGGATTTTAACCTTTTGTTATGTATGAATTTTAATGATTTGTAATAAAGTTATATAAATTGAAAATCCTCTGACGCCTCTTTCAAAACCCCATTACAACCTAGGTTGTGAATGTTTTTGTATAATGGATTAAATAGGGGTGAGGTTTCAGATCCCCTGGGCTGATACTCTGGGCAGTGCTATTTGTATCTAAAGGTAAATTGCCTTGTCTTGCCTTGCAGCTGTACTGGAACACATGGCCAGAGTGCAGCCCCTATGCATCCGATGTGAATTATGACGGCTGGCTCCGCCAAGCTGTCAGTAGCAGGTTGTCGGCCGGCCATTCCAGCTTCGGCTTTCACCTCGGCTCAGTAGAGCTGAAGCATATGCCTTCGGCTCGACTGAGCAGCTCGGCCAACTTCCCTGCAAGCCCGCGGTGTCCTCTGCTGTACGCGGCTGGCATATGAGTTTTAGTTTCCTTTTCAGGCGTCACAGCGGGGGGCGGAGGTAAACAACAAATTTCCATGAAAAACAATGTACCACTTTGGGATGCTAAAATCCTGAATAATCATACCGCCAGGGAGGTTAAAGTCTATTTTCAACTTTGTAAGTTATTGCCATTTTTGCATTAATGTAATGGTGCAGTGATGATGTATGTGTGTGTGCATTTTCACTATTCAGAGTGCTGTTTTTTTAACTTTTTTGGGGGAACTGTTTAATGGGCCAAAGACCTAGAAATAAACATTTCCCTCCATAGGAAAATCTATCTGACTCTAGTGTCAGGTTGTAATCTACATTATGCAGCCTGTACTGTGAGATCTTCCAATTTCACAGAGCTCCAGGCAGCAGCAGCTAACCTCGTCCCCTTCTCATGCGTGGCACAGTGGAGTAGGGGAAGTCTGTAAACACTTCAGGTGAAGCCAATCACAAAGTATTTGCAGCAGCGGAGAGGAGATCACAGAGCTCAGCCCAACCAATGAGTAATCCCAAAAGAACTCAACACTGCTCTGTTCTGGGGAGAAAGGACCTTTTTGCTGGACTCGTTCTAAAGGTGGGTAAACTTCGTAAACTAGTCTCTAATCTTCCTCTCTGTGTCTATGCCTGCCTTGTTGATATGTCTCCCTCTCTCTGCGCTCTGTGTGTTGGTCTGGATTGTCTCTGTGCCTGGGCTTTGTGTCTATTTAGGTGTGATTTCCTTTCCTATCCGTATGTCTCTCTGACAAAATAATTTTTTGTCTGATCAGATGTAGCATGGCTATGCTACAGTGGAAAACACCATTGCAGGGGACATGAAGCAGTGTAAGGTGGACATCAAAAATGATACTATCAGGTAATGGTGAGGTCATGTCAAGTGTGTCCGGATGCCCGGCCGCCAACCCATTTTTGATGCATGGGTTCCCTGTTCTCTTGTTATCCATTGATGCATTCATACCAAACTCTGAGCCAATATTGTATACCCATCTCTGCTTGAGGAAGCAATAATTCCCACGAAACGCATAGAGCAAGTTATCTACACCCCTCAACACAATATCGATTACTGTGTATTCCACAAGGAACCTTATGGGTAATATATTAACTTAAGAACATGATATACAATTTATGGAGGGGTTATATATATCTTTTGGGTATAGGCTCTTTTAGATGGATGTAGAGATTGGAGTTTATGCTGTTTTTTTTTAACTTTCTTTGTATTAAACATTTTGAAAAGAATAACAAACACATCATCATGGTAAGTGGAATAAGAAAAATGGTTACCAGATAAGACAACAGTCTACAAATGATTATCACATACGACTATTCGTTGCAATAAAACAATGTGCAAACATCAATAAGGAAGGCAGCAGCCTTAAACGTATTAATGTTCACTGCAGAAAGTAAGGGGAACTAGAAAAGAGAAAGGGAAAAGAGGGAGGGTAAAGATAGAGAATCTGTGTTCCAAAAATGTGGGACCCCAGTGATCTACACATATCCACATCCCAACCTAAGAATCCCCAGGAGACATCTCCAAAGATCCCAAGCAGAGGCGGCTCTCTAATTAGGCGAGTCAGGCAGGCGCAAAGGGCCTTGCACCCACCAGACTCACCTGCTGTGGCCACCGCAATGCTGCATGCACTGTATGCCCCTTCACGCAGTGGGGGTCCCAGTAAACGCAGATGTACTGGGCATACCTTCTGCCAGTTCACAGCGCAGCGTGAAGGAGGAACAGTCGCCAGCTCAGAAGCAAGTGAGAGAAGCGGGGACATAGGATATCCCTGTAACTGACATGAGTTTGCAATAAATCTACGAATTTTGATCCTATAAGAATTTGCTGTGTTGGTGACGTTTATGCAATTATAGGATATCTCTGCCCCCTCCCCATTCTACAATTCTGCCGAACTAGAATCAGAGGTAAGGAAAGAGATGTGATGTGGAGAAGGGCCTGGTAGTAGACATCTCAACTCTCCCGAACATTCCGGGAGTCTCCCGCTAAAATTTTTATCCCGGAAAGGTTTACTGCAGGAGTAAACCTTTCCCTGTTTTTATTCGGACATCGGGGCCGCCGACCGCCGTCAGAGCAAAGAAGAAGAAAAAACAGCATTGAAATGAATAGCTAGATTGCTATTGGCTATTTTAATTTGCAATAGCCAATAGCAGGCTGGCTATTGCACCCGCCCTCTGCTGTTGTCAATCAGCAGAGGGGGACCTGAGGTTCTCCATCAGGTCCTCCTCTGCTGATTGACAGCAGCAGTAGGCGGGAGCAATAGCCAGCCTGCTATTGGCTACTGCAAATCGAAATAGCCAATAGCAATCTAGCTATTCATTCCCATATTGTCTTGTTTTTTTTTAGGTGACCAAGCAACAAAGTTGCAAGGACACCTATTGTTATTGTTAAGATTATTAGGTGGCCAAGCAACAAAGTTGCAAGGAAACCTATTGTTAAGATTATTATTAGGTGGCCAAGCAACGAAGTGCCGGATGTGAGAGGAGGCTTCCCTTGCACCTTGTGTCCTGTAAGACTCTGAGGATGTGAACAGAGGCCAGAGGGAGCAATAGAAAGTTATTTGTTTTAGAAGTGCCAGGGACAATCCTTATCCCTCACAAGGAAGCACATATGCAAGGCGCAGCCCCAATACAGTCAAGGGAACTGGAACATCTGAAAAAAACACAAAGAGGGGCGCCTTTCCTAGTGCAGTATCGTTTACAGTGCACTAGGAAAGGCGCCCCTCTTTGTGTTTTTTTTAGAGATCAGAGGGACAACAAGTGGCAGGAGTGCCAGTGGTGTTGAGCACCGCGCAAGCCGTAATCCGATGAGACGAGCCGAGGCCAAATCCAAGCGGGCAATCCAGGTACAAAAAGGGTTAGGCAAAAGAGTGGTCAAATAACAGTTCTGAGGTCAAGGCAGGCAGAAATCAAGGTTAGTCAAGGAAGTCCGGGTCACAAGAATCAAGCAGTGTTTTATGAATCACAGGAACAAGGAATAGCTGACGATAATCCGGAAACACGCAGCTTGAGCATGCGCAGATGGCGGGGATCCATTACACCTATTGTTATTGTTAAGATTATTAGGTGGCCAAGCAAAAAAGTTGTAAGGACACCTATTGTATCTGTTAAGATTTATTATTTTTATTATTATTATTCCATCTCTTTTTTAAATGCCCGTAACAAGTGCATTGTTTGTCAAAAACTCATGAAATGTTGCACAATGTTAGAGCCCTGTGCTTGTTTATTGTAATAAACAATTTATATTGTTTATTACAATATAAAGGTCATAGATCAAATGATGTGGCAGCCATCTTGATTTTTACATCAATTTGTGCAAAAATTCAGAAACCTGCTTCTCCAGAACCACTAAAGCTACAGAAGAATAAAATTGCTGTGTGAGCTTATGTTGTGCTCTGTTGCCATTGCATCAACATTGTATCATTGCATAACATTGCACTTTTAACATTGTATCACATTGCATAAATGTGCATTTCTATGACTATTGAAGTATGTTAAACATGTTATACATATGATAACTCAATATCATAACTGCCAAATACAATATGGGTTCCAAAGGTCACCTAGGTCGGCGGCCATTTTAAATTTCATTTTTTTTTTATAATTCATGAAATCATGTCCTGCTATTTTTCTCTATAACTACAATATCTTCTCATGTGCTATAACTGGCTCTAATGCTTGGCCACCT